TCACTCTCCGAAAACGCCGGATCCGTCTGGACGAAACGCCTATACGATACAAAATGTATGCGTATACAGCTAAACGCGTCTCCGTGTGGACGGGGCCTAAGAAACAGTCTCTCAGACAGTGCGCACATATAGTGAAATGAGTTGTCTTTCGCTGCTTATTACTTTTCGACAGCTTAAAATCACTCGTTTTTAAACCGCTAAGCTTAAAAACGTGTGCAAACGTTACATTTTCGTGACCACATATGTAGCACAGCAACGACACGTGAGCCTGTAACCACGATAGAGACGAAGTCCAAAAAAAAAGCAGTATTTCGCCCGAGACCTGATTCAAACATCAAACAAACAGATGCAAAGACTAGATCTATGGAAACTGTTCATTTTTTACGTTTCCATCTTATTTTTAATGTAAGAGCTAGAGTGAACTTGAGTGTGTGAGGCAATATCAGCCTCCAGTTAGCCTATTTAGCTGTGCAAAACAGTTCATTGTGCTGCTGGATGCTGTAAATTGCTATTTCTTTTCAAATTATTTTAAATTTGTTAACATACTAATAAACATGCTAATTTGTAGCACAAATGTTTTACCGTTTACTGCACTTTGTTAAGTGGGTCACACATCAGACTTGAAGTGCTGCAGCAAATGAAATGAAGTCTCGCACAGACACAAGTCTTTCTTTCCAAGAAAACTGAATTTAACGAGCAAAGTGTGGAGGTACCTCGTGTCAAACTTAAAAACATTACATATTGAGTTTATAAAACTATACCTTAATTTTTGTTTTTCGTCAGCTGTTTTCAAAACGAACGGCAGCATTTTATGTTAATTAGGGGTTCAAGCACATAGTGCTGAAACCCTATTGTAATTGTTAGGATTTTTATTATTATTATTCTTCCCTAAAACTGATCGTGCAGAACAAACTGTAAGGCCTAGAGAGCTGAAACTTGGTCAGATGGTAGTAGTCTGGCTCGCTACTCAGACGCAAAGACTCACCCCAATCGGCCTATGGGGGGGCGCTACAGCGATCAAAAACGCAAAACTGCTCATAACTCCTAGACCGTTTGTTGTAGACTCAAAACTTTTACACTTTTGGAATCCTTGGGTCAAGACGGACCGAAGCCTAGAAGTTTAGATTTGCTCTACGAGGTCCGGTTTTCCCGCCATTTTGAAGTAAATTCTAAACCTACTTTTGCGAACTAGTCCTAGGTTTTTTGCCCGAGCCGAACCAAACCACTGCAGAAATATTGTCTGGGCAGAGAATATCAATAATTATCAAAAAAAAGTTGAAATTTCAACTCACCGTCATAGGGACGCCAAAACGTTCGTAAGGGGTGGGGCCAATTTTACTAAAATGGCTGTAACTCTTGAACGGAATGAGATATCTTCACCAAACTTGGTACACATGTGTATGAGCTCAGTCTTTGGCCAAATAAAAAAAATTGCGCAGCTCTGCCACTTGGTGGTGCTATAAGACGGAAAAATACCTAAAAACGACTATAACTGCGCAACCATTGGTCCGATCGACTTGAAAATTGGTATGCAGTGTCTTTGTCCAAAAGGGCACAAATGTCTATGAGGACATTCGTGTATCTCAAAAAACATGGCCGCCATTAGCCAAACAAATTTAAGCACCTATTTGACGATCGGAATCGATTGGTCAATCGGAACGAAACTCGGTGGGCATGTTCGACTCATGGCCATAAAGGTCTGTAAGAATTTTGAAAGAAATCGGCCACTAGTTGGCGCTATCGAGTTTTATGGCTCTGTAATCACGTGGTGTTTCACACATGCCCACAATATGCATATAATTTGATAGATCTCCTCATAATGAGCAACTTTGCCTCAAGAACCATTGCTGTCAATCAAATCGTTCAATAAATATTCACAAATATGTTAAAAACCTACTTTGCGAACTAGTCCTAGGATTTTCGCTCAATCTCGATCAAACCACTGCAATAATATTCTCTGGACTCTCTAGATCAATAATTATCAAAAAAATGTAGAATTTTGTTCTTTGGTTACCTTTAATGGGGTTATTTATAAAAGGGGCGTTGTCAAATAGTCCGATCGACTTGAAAATTGGTATGCAGTGTCTTTGTCCAAAAGGGCACAAATGTCTATGAGGACATTCGTGTATCTCAAAAAACATGGCCGCCATTAGCCAAACAAATTTAAGCACCTATTTGACGATCGGAATCGATTGGTCAATCGGAACGAAACTCGGTGGGCATGTTCGACTCATGGCCATAAAGGTCTGTAAGAATTTTGAAAGAAATCGGCCACTAGTTGGCGCTATCGAGTTTTATGGCTCTGTAATCACGTGGTGTTTCACACATGCCCACAATATGCATATAATTTGATAGATCTCCTCATAATGAGCAACTTTGCCTCAAGAACCATTGCTGTCAATCAAATCGTTCAATAAATATTCACAAATATGTTAAAAACCTACTTTGCGAACTAGTCCTAGGATTTTCGCTCAATCTCGATCAAACCACTGCAATAATATTCTCTGGACTCTCTAGATCAATAATTATCAAAAAAATGTAGAATTTTGTTCTTTGGTTACCTTTAATGGGGTTATTTATAAAAGGGGCGTTGTCAAATATACCCAAAAGCCTATAAAACCTAAACGAAAACTGACAACTTTACGAAACTTGGTGAAAACATGTGTCAGATTACTCTTAACAAGCATGTAAAGTTTTATGGATATCGGACTATAGGTGGCGCTATAACAGTTGAAAAGGCCACAAAAATACAATATTTGTATAGAAAATGACCTCAAATTGTATAACATGTGCATATATTCACAAAACACAAGATCTGCATATCATATGATAGATCACCTCATTCTAAACAACTTTGCCTCAGGGACTAATGGTGTCAACCAAATCGTTCATTAAATATTCGCAATTATGTTAAAAACCTACTTTTGCGATGTAGTCCTAGGTTTTTCGCTCAATCTCAATCAAACCACTGCAGCAATATTCTCTGTACTCTCTAGATCAATAATTATTAAAAAAAAATGTTGAATTTTGTCTTTTGGTTAGCTATAATGGTATCATTTTAAAAGGGTGTGGCCAAATATACCCAAAAGCCTCTAAAACCTAAACGAAAACTCAAAACTTTATGAAACGTGATGAAAACATGTGATAGATGACACTTAACAAGCATGCAAAGTTTCATACAGATCTGACCATAGGTGGTCCTATAACAGTTAAAACAGCCTGAAAAAACAGTATTTCTATAGTAAATTACCTCAAATTGCAATAAAATGTTCATATATTCACTTATACACTTTACATCCATATCATATGATAGATCTCATCATTCTGAACAACTTACTGCTGTCAATCAAACTGTTCTTTAAGTATTTGAGATTATTTTGAAAACCTACTTTTGTGAACTAGTCCTCAGTTTTTAACTCAAAATCAATAAAATCAGTGCAGTACTATTCTGTAGACTCTCTAGGTCAATAATTATTTAAAAAAAATGTTGAACATTTGCGTTTGGACAACTATAAACCGGTCATTTTATTATATGTTCTTTACATAGTGTACCCAAAGGCCTATAAATCCTAAAAGAAAGCCCACAATTTCTCCCAAAACGGTGTAAAATAATGCATAATTTCATTCTAAACAAGCATGCAAAATTTAAGAGAAATTGGGCAAAAAATAACACTATAATAGTCATAAAGGTTAAATACAGTGATGTATGAGAAATTGCATTTATAACCACTAGATGGCAGCGGAAGACCACTAATGGGCTCATTAAACGCACTAAAACAGTACTGTTGATAGGTTTGATGGATTCATGCTTAGACGTTATAAAATCACTGTTATAACATTTAAAATCACATTTAGTCATAGTTTACCATTTTGTTCATAGAGACATATTAGTTTTTACAATTATGCCAGATTATGATTACAGTGAAACCTGAAAATGACATATAAACTCCTAAAAAGAGACAACTTGCAATAAGTATTGTCACCTATCATTTATGTCAAATATCTATATCTGCAGCAAAATTTGTGTGCATGTATGTCTGTGTATGTGTGTGTGTGTGTGTCTGTGTGTTTAAGCATGCTTATTGAGTATTAATATAATAGTTTAACCATTTCATTTCTGTGTCCGTGAGCCTATTCTCCATTTTGGATGTGTTTTACTGTCAGCCACACATCCAGGTTGGCCTAGACCCTAAAATATACCACCTTAAATGCCTTAATGTGCTTGAACCCCGGTAATTGCTGCTTGCAGCTATATTTCTTTTTTATTTTTGCCATAAATGACACAAAAACACGTAATGCTCTCGTGTCATGGCGGTATCATGAGGTCAATATGTTAACATGACGTGTATTGACTGGAACTCACTGAGGTTTGAAGTGAGACATTTCAACTTGGATGTTCCCACATCCAAACTTGGCTTGAATGCAACACAAGTACATCAACCAGCACTCCTATCGCCAGTCAGGTCGTCTCTGAATAGTAGCTTCACCTGTGAGCAATGACAGCTTGAGAGAAGGAGCAAGAAAAAGAGAGACATACGAGAAAGAGTTGCACACAAAACATGCGCTTCCTAACATCAAGTCAAAACAAAAACATGTTACACTATCAAAGGGCACAACCAGGGTTACTAATTGATGAAGACTTGACAGAGCAGCCACCAAGTAGATATTACATGTGGAGGTTTTTGGTCCAATTATTAAAATCTGTTTTAGTAATTTAGTAGGGAATTACTAGTCATCATCCATTTTTTATATCAACTATTCATTGCCCATGTTTCTCTGTGACAGTGTGCTCAATAGTGATACCACCTATCTGATCAATGTCTTCCCCGCTGCTCTCTTTCTGTGCAACAGGCCCTCAGTGACTTTATGCTCATGCAAAAAAAAATAAACACACACAAATACTGTACCTCTTTTCTTCCATAAAGGAAAGCAGGTGGGTTTTTGATTCTTCTTTCGTTTTTCAGTAAATTCTTATGTTGTTCTCTCTTCTTCAGGCATATGAGAGGAGGTTTCCCACCTGTCATTTGATCCCCATGTTTGTGGACAGTGATGTGATCAGTGAGGAGACCAGTGAGGATCGATCTTTTCATAGGATTGAGAGGAGGTGTAAACTTGACGTGGATGCACCACGACTCCTCAAACGGGTAAAATGGAATGGAAGTCTTGTGATATAAGATGTGAATAAGCTTGATTCAATTTTCAGCTTTGATTTGTAATAAAATGATAAATCCTGTATTTGTGTGTAGATTGCAGGTGTGGATTATGTCTACTTCATTCAGAAGAACTCTCTGAACCACAGAGAAAGAACTCTTCATATTGAATCTCACAATGAAACCTTCTCCAACAGAGTCATCATCCGTGAACTCTGCTGTTACTCGGTGAGAAAAATCACCCTCACATCTCAGAGGTGCTGTTAAGTATGTAATTAACAACTTCAATTTGGTTGTATAATATGATTAGACACATTAGCATAATATTGGTACCAGTTTCTGGTGCTTCTGTATCGATAAATAAAATGTATTTCTTAGGCAACAAATAAAATGGCAAAGGAGAGAAATACAGTTAGTATACTATTATAGTATAACAATAAAAACTATTATGATGTAAATGGCTGAAATCTGTATATAAAAAAGGGATTAAGTACTCAGAAGGGAAGTGATGACTATTTGGGCCACTAGAGATGCCACACTTCTTGATATAATATTGAACTGTTCGGTATGAAATCCACAGTTCAGAATGCGCTTGTGAATGTTTTTTTTTTTCTTTTCTTTTTTCGCTTTTGTGTTTCAATAATTTCAGTGCATTTTATTTCTCTCTGAATTGGCTGTTTTTGTCTGCCTGTGAGTCTATGCTGTAAGGAATTTAACTCATTAATTCTTATAAGGGAATTAATCATTAATTTTATTTATATCTCAGGTTTTGAGAGGACTCGAATCTGAAAATTCGAAGTCAACCTGATTAAAACTTATAGGTTGTGAAATAACTTTTCAGTCCTGATACAAAAGATCTTTGTGTTATCTCCTGAATGGATTAGTTCATCATCACTCCTCTGAGTAGATGAGACAAGGCTGACAGGAAATCAGCCCCGAATATTGGAGTCATGTGCTGGGGTGATTTGTTTAGATCTCATGCGGGTTGATTCCATGGCATGTCAGTGTCTGTTATGGATAGAAATCCTACAATGCGCTTAGATGAGGAAACACTTCCCTGCTTATAACATGCATTTGAAAAAGCAACACCTTTCCTTGTAATGACTTACATTTACATTTTAGCAGACACTTTCAGCAGACACTTCATTTAGCAGACACTTTTATCCAAAGCAACTTACAAATGATGACAGTTGAAGCAATCAAACCAACAGCAACATTATGTTAGTGCTGTGACAAGTCCCGTTAGTGTAACGCAGTACACATAGATGATAGTAAATAAAAAGAAAACAAGTACATAGAATAGAATAAAATAGAGAACACTAGTGTTAGAGGGTCAAGTATATTTTAATAAATAAAAAGAAAACAAGTACATAGAATAGAGTGCTAGTGTTAGAGTGTGAATGTTTTTTTAAATAAAAACACGTAGATAAAATAGAAATTGAATAGAGAGTGCTTGTTTTAGAGGGTCAAGTGTAGATGGACGAGATGTGTTTTTAGTCATTTCTTGAAGATGGCTGCTCGGATCGAGTTGGGCAGGTCATTTCACCAGCAGGGAACAGTTAACAGTTACATCTTTTGATGTAGCAAAAGATGGCGGCGCGTTCACACGCTGCGGCTTCTCTCTCTCCCGACAGAAAGGTGTTTTCGTGTTTTTTGTCTTGTGAGTCGCAGTGTTTTTGTACGTATTCGTCGCGTCTATCTGTCTCTAAGCGCGCATACAGTCGTGAGTTTCTGCTCGATGTCGGCAGAACCACATTTTTAGAGTTAAACTCTGCGCACGCCGAAGAGCTGCGGGATCTCGGTCTGCTCCGGAGGCCCACACCATCACCGACCCCCACTACTGCATCTCGCCCACAGCGGAGGCGCCACAAGCGGCGTGAGAGGAAGCAGAAGAGGGGTAAGCGCGGAGGTATCCGGGCTAGGCTAGCGGCTAACCCACACAAGCCAGCTATCCCCACCATCGTACTGGCTAACGTACGCTCTTTGGACAATAAACTGGACTACGGCTGAGTAATTAATGACAGAATTTTCATTTTTGGGTGAACTATCCCTTTAAGATTGTTTATTAAGTCACTCGACAAAAACTTTCATTCTGACATTTGACGTTTTGTGTGTTTTTGTCCTGTATTTGTCTGTTTAGCTTGAGGAGCCACTCCATGTCAAATAAAACTAATTAAAACTTACAATATTTCGATCTGTTTTTTTCTTTCAATGATACAAGATGCAGTGTTGGGCAAGCTACTTGGAAAATGTAGTGAGCTAAGCTAACAGTTACTCTTCATTAAATGAAGCTTCACTACACTAAAGCTACAGCCCTGGGAAATGCAGCAAGCTAAGCTACATCAACTTGGCAAAAAATGTTTACTACATCTAAGCTATTTAAAAAAAATTTTTTTTATATTGAACCAACATCATAAGGCAATGCTCTCTCAGTGATCAATAAAACTGTCAGTCAAGCAGATAGACAGGCATAATAGTTCAGTTTAGTTGTTTTTTCAACAACTGTTCCAAATCAATTTGCCAACACAAATCAGTCTCATGCAGGGCCGGATTGACCTCATATTGTGACATAGGCAAAGTGAATTGTTGCTGTCGGCCGGAAACCTCCTATTGGTAGTTGCAGTGTTGGGGAAGCTACTCTGCATTTATAATGGTAACCACTTCACAACATTAGTTAACATTAGTTAACTAGTGTAGTTAACATGAACTAAGAATGAACAATACTTCTTACTTCTGTATTAATGTTAAAGGGGTCATATGATGTTGCTAAAAAGAACATTATTTTGTGTATTTGGTATAATGAAATGTGTTTATGCGGTTTAAAGTAAAAAAAATGATTGGCCAGCTATACAGTGCGTTGTGATTGGCTGAATACCTCAAGCGTGTGACGGAAATGTTACGCCCCTTACCATACTGTGATATGCCCTGTCCTGCCCTGTCCGACGATTCAAAAACATGAAAACCCATTACAAATGAGGCATTTGTTGCATCCAGTGGGGACAGTGGGGACATGAACGGCGCGGCTGGTGGATTTGACGAAGGAGCGGCCGGCGGGCTTGTGGCAACCACATGTGACGGCCCCGGGCTGGACTCCGCTTCGTCCACGGTGAAAGCCGATCCGGCGATCCACAGCGC